GCTCATCCCTGCCCCCCCCAGCCTGGGCCTGTGCTCATCCCTGCCCCCCCCCAGCCTGGGCCTGTGCTCATCCCTGCCCTCCCCAGCCTGGGCCTGCGCTCATCCCTGCCCTCCCCAGCCTGGGCCTGCGCTCATCCCTGCCCCCCCGCCGCCCAGCCTGGGCCTGGGGGCGTGGAGTCCCCATCCTGGTGCTGGGAGCTTCTTCAGCAACAGTGAGGTGGAGCAGGCACGTGGGCCTCCGTGGGTGGGGCCTGAGCCCCACAACAGGGGCTGTGTGAGCCGGGAGTCAGGGTGTGAGCTCCCTCGTCTGTCACCCACCGGTGTGAGCTCCTTCCTCATCATCCACCCAATGAAACGCCTTTCTCCGTCACCACCCAGTGTGAGCTCCTTCCTCCATCACCACTGGTGTGAGCTCCTTCCTCATCACCAGATGGTGTGAGCTCCTTTCTTGTCACCACCCGGTATGAGCTCCCTCCTTGTCACCACCCGGTGTGAGCTCCCTCCTTGTCACCACCCGGTGTGAGCTCCCTCCTCGTCACCAGCTGGTGTGAGCTCCCTCCCGTCACCACTGATGTGCTTCTGGGCCCCACCATAGCATAGCACTTCCCCCCTCCCCTCCAGCACCACATCCACCTTCACAGTGGCTGGAGAGCCTCGAGCCTCCTGTCTCTGAAATCTGGGGCACTGGGCTCAAGTCTGGGGCCAAGGAGGACGCATCACTGGTACAGTCTAAGCCTAGTGTCATGCTTTTTCTTGCTGGAAATGCCTTCTGTTCCTGGGGTGATCGGCCACAATGCCACACGTGGCTTCTCTTCATTGTAAGACACTGCTCAGCAGGGTCAACAGGGCCTGATAAAAGAAAGCCCGAGAGGGGCCTTCGGGAGGACACCTAGCTGGCAGGGACAGGCCTCAGAGTCTAGCCGGAGTGACCCAGAGCACTCAATGCAGCAGCAACAGGGAGTGTGGCTCCTTTTGGAAAGGCACAGGAAGCCGGTGTCTAGGGACCGCTGGGGTAGGGAGGTGCCAGGCAGGACACTGTGAAAACCGGCCGTCTGCAGCCTCGCCAGAGACAGCAGTAGCCACCGTTGAACCCGAATGCCTGGTCCCCAGGGAGAGCCTCTGGCCTGGGGAAGGAGCCCTGAACCAGGGCATGCCGGGCACGCCCTGCCACCAAGATCTTCCTCCATCTCAGAGCTGACAGCTGCAAAGGACCAGCACTGTCACCTTCCCAGGTGGAGGAGCATTGGTGAGCAGGCGCACACATGGTAAGGACACGGGACTCTCTGATGACTCTTGAACACACTTCCCAGCCCCTAGCAGAATGCGCTTTTGGAAGTAGGTACAGGGCTCCAGGTGGCTTTCCAGATTCACCAACAGCCCTCCCGCCTCAAAGAATACTATATCCAAAGGTGAGCTGTGTTCTGTGTGAGGGGCAGGCGGGTGCTGGGTCTCAGAGTTGGTCTGCACACAGTCCACCAGCCCCTGCTGCTCAGCCTGAAAAACTCTGATTAAAATCCAGAAAACAATGCACGCAAGCCATGCTGAGGAGGTGTTTTGAATGATCATTTTGTGAATAGCAGGAAACTTGCACAAATAGTCCCCTTTCTGTGAAAAGCTACGTCTCCACACCACCCATGACGCTCGTTTCTGAGGAGAAGTGTGGTCATGCATGGAATTGTGCAGGTGATTCTTGGTCAGCGTAGGGATCCGCTGAGACTTCTCTTTCTTTTTTTTCTTTTTCTTTTTATTGTAAAGATACTATACAGAGGGTTACAATTACATGAGTGAGGTAATGAGTACACTTCCTACTGAACATGGTTACCCCCTCCATTGTTTTCCCCTTACCATCCCTTCCCTCCCTACCTTCCCCGAGGTTTTTTTTTTATTGTGATTAAGTGATTACATAATTTCCTGGATTTCACAGTATTGTGGAATAATGATGCTCATTTAAAGTCACAAGTTCATTCTAACTTTCCTGGAGCAAATTGTCTATCACAGTCTAACATATAACGGTGTTCACATGTTATACACCATACATGTGATCAGCAGCATGGGGATATTTAGCAGTGGTTCGACCAGATGAGTGGGAGTTCTTTGTTTCTTAAGTCCTGTTAGTTTTGTCGTATCACCTAACATTTTGGATTTAGCATCCACTTATCAGGGAGACCATGTACCGTTTGTCTCTTTGCTCTTGGCTTACCTCGTTCAACATGATTCCTTCTAGCTCCATCCATTTCCCTGCAAATGCCATTATTTTGTCATTTCTAATGGCTGCATAATATTCCATTGTGTATAGATACCACAATTTTTGGATCCATTCATCTGTCGTGGGCATCTGGGTTGTTTCCATATCCTAGCTATTATGAACAGTGCTGCAATAAACATGGAGGTGCACGTGTCCTTGTATACTGACTGGTTCCTGTTGTTCAGGGTAGATGCCTAGAAGTGGTATGACTGGGTAATAAGGGAAGTCAATCTTTAGCTTTCTGAGGACCCTCCAGACTGCTTTCCAAAGTGGTTGTATAAGTATACATTCCCACCAGCAGTGTAATAGGGTTCCTCTTTCTCCACATCCCCTCCAGCATTTGTCGTTGGCTGATTTGTGGATGTGGGACATTCTGACTGGGGTAAGGTGGTATCTCAGGGTTGTGAGACTTCTCTTTCTAAGAAGCCGGGGGCTGGCACACCTCCCAGGTGTCATTGCTTCAGAGCCATTTCCCCTGTAGTAGCTTTGAGCAGCGACACAAGCAATGACACCACGACACATTTGGGAGTCAGGATATGCTTTCATGGGGTGACTGTGGAGAGAGAGCACAGCTTGAGAGGGGGACACTGCTTTGTGAGCTCACGCTGACCTAGGGTCCAGGCCTCACAGGGTTCTGTAAAATACCATGCTTGTGCTGATACTAAGAAAAGCAGGTGCAAGTACAGAGCTGGCAGCAAATATTTCAAAAACAACTGCCACTGGCCAGGCCCCGAGAAGAAAGCGGGGGGGGGGATCCACGGGACTGCAGGATGGCTTTGGAGCAATCCTGAGGTCATCTTGGGCACCTGAATACACAACAATCCATTCACAAAGTGATGAGCAGACGCCTGCTCCCGGACTCAGAGCCACTGTCTGTGTGTGAGAGACATCTGCACAGAGAGAGGCCAGACTGGCGGAGCTTTGACCCTGTCATCAAGCATTATGCTGGTCCCGAAGTGTGTGGTGCTACCTGAGTGCCACCCTGGGCTCCCCGGAGGTGGGCTGCGTGAACCCGGGCTCCCTGGAGGCTGGGCCGCGTGAACCCGGGCTCCCCGGAGGCTGGGCCGCGTGAACCCGGGCTCCCCGGAGGTGGGCCGCGTGAACCCGGGCTCCCCGGAGGCTGGGCCGCGTGAACCCGGGCTCCCTGGAGGTGGGCCGCGTGAACCCGGGCTCCCTGGAGGCTGGGCCATGCGCCGCCTCCAGTTGTGCTTGTGAGTTTAGTGGGGGACCAGCCCATTCTTGCGCCATGCTAGCAAAGCATCATGGAGGAGGGCACCCCATGTCAGTGTGAGGGGTACCCTAAAGCTTTGTGCATGAAGGGAGCTGGCCCCACCACCCTGAGGGCCTTCAACAGCCAAACTCCACGTGGCGTGAACGCTGAGGCGGAGCACCCAGGGAAGCAGAGGTGGCGCGGTGGTGCCCACTCGGACATCTGTTCCACACACGTGCGTGCACACTCACACCCACGCACATCGCCTCCTCTTCCTTTCCTGGAGCACGTCTGTCTGTGGGCAAAGGGCCGCGTGGAGGTGTGCAGCAGCCCAGCCCTGGGACACGGCACGGCGGGCCACACACCAAGTTGGTTCCCCAGTGGCAGCTGGGTAGGGCCCTGGTGTCCAGCAGAGGGCGGAAAACGGCGTGCGCCACAGCACGCTGGGCCTCCACACACAGGGAGGGCCCTGCTGCCATCACGAGTCACTTCTGTAAGACCTCATCAGCGCTGGTCACTCGTAGACAGCCGCATCCACGCGGCCCGGAGAGCTGATCGGCAGCCGCGGCTCCGTGGGGGAACGCCGGTCCCTCTGAGGAGGGCAGGAGAACGGCAGTGGACCACGGCGTCAGAACCCCAGGCTCGGGGCCAGTGCCACCTCCCAGCACGGTGACGAGGCCCCCAGGGAGGCCTCGCCTCTCAGCACAGGGACACAGACGCGAGCGCGTCGCGTCACGGTGGAAGCCCGGTCCCAAGAATAACACGCAGGACTGTGTTTCGGAAGATTTCGTAAGTCTTCCTGGCTTCAGATCAACCAGAGACCTCCCCCACAGGCACAAGAGCGGGGCCCCAGGGGCCCCGCAGGGAGCACGCCGCACCCCAGGCTGACAGCGGCCACACGGCGTGCTGCATGCAGCCTGCCCTGTCCCAGGGGGCGCGCCGCAGCATGCAGTCTGCCCTGTCCGAGAGGGTGCGCCGCGGCATGCAGTCTGCCCTGTCCCAGGGGGCACGTCACGGCATGCAGTCTGCCCTGTCCGAGGGGGCGCACTGTGGCATGCAGCCTGCCCTGTCTGAGGGGGTGTGCTGCATGCAGCCTGCCCTGTCTGAGGGGGTGTGCTGCATGCAGCCTGCCCTGTCTGAGGGGGCGCGCCGCAGCATGCAGCCTGCCCTGTCCGAGGGCCGAGGCCACAGGGAGACGGGTGTGGGCGGCTGCCGTTCTTCAGGTTGAGGTAAGCGCGGCTCTGCCCACCTCTGACAGATACCAACGAAACGCTTTGAAATGCCACACAAACACAAATTAGCAAGACAGTGCTGCTGCTGCAGCACTTTGAAAGTCCTGGGAGCAGATTGTATCTGCTCACAGACCTTTTCCAAGGGCCTCAGGCGGAGGAAAGCAGAACACAGACACAGGGTTTGCGACGCCACACAAAGGATGACGGCCGTGCAGATGTGGGGTGTGGGGTGGGTCCCTGACTGGCCCACGGCCCTCTTTCCGTCCTCCCACCCTGGCCTGCCTGAGGAACAAAGACACAGCCCTGGAAGCTGCTGGTGACCCCAACGACCACAGAGACCAGCAAAGGGGAGGGGGGGGTCCTTGGAAGAAGGAGGCCCCAGGATGAGGCCCCAGGACCAAGCCCACTGCAGACATGCCAAGCGAGAGTGCTTGAAGATATGATAAGGCATGAATGACGCCAGACACAAAAGACCATATACCATGGCGGCCAATTTGAATGAAAAGTTCACAATAGGGATCTTTACAGACCAAGAAGGATTAGTGCTGTCTAGGGCTGGAGTGGTTTGAGGAGACGGGAGAGTAAAAGATTCAGGGTAGGATGTACTGTACTGTCCCAGGCAGAGAGAGCATTCTAAATTGACCCCAGGGATGGCTGCACATATCAGTGAGTGAGGAAACACCACTGAGGACGATTGACAGGAGAACCGTGGGGAGCAGAGGCGCAAGTGTGGGTGACAAGGAACGCCACCACTTGCTCCAGGACAAGCGCTCCTCTGCTCCAGAGAAAGCAAGATGCCAAGGGGAGACGGATCCTGAGCAAGGGAGGAGGTGAGAGGGTCTGGGCTCTTCTGGAGGGCAGGACGGCGTGGGGGAGTGCTGCAGGGGGACACAGCGCAAGGGAAGGGCAGCTGGAGCCCACCCGGCCAGCCATGCCCGCCAGAGCCCACTGCGGCCAGGATGCCACCCAACCGCAGCCACACCCGCCACAGCCACAGTCCACGGCGGCCAGGATGCCACCCAACCACAGCCACGCCGGCCACAGTCCACGGCGGCCAGGATGCCACCCAACCACAGCCAGCCACAGCCACAGTCCACGGCGGCCAGGATGCCACCCAACCACAGCC